TGAACAAACTGAGGAGAGATGCTGATTGGTTGCCATGGGCAACTGCTCCAGCTTCTGTTTGCTCCAGTTTTGATAAATTCTCCCCATTGAGATTCCTTGGTAACTCGATTTTCTCGGCTCCCTCTAGTGGCGGCTCTGAACTGCAGGTTATACCCTGATCGCTCCCCTCACAATTTATGCAATGATCACTTCAAGCACTACAAGAGCTAGATGGTTGCAGATGAAAAGCATGCCCTTGAATTAATTCCCGGCACATCACTTGGCCCCGAACTCCTTGAAATGCCTGGTTTGTGTTACCACATAAGAGTCCTTTGCTTTGACTGTGCGCTGCGAACGGCCCTGTGAAGCTTTTTGTTATAGGACTGAAATGTCTCATTTGCATAAAGCAGATTAGTAGATTCTGAGAAATCTGGAACACTTGAAATACATTTTTGCTTTCTTTGGAGGAGCAGTGTGATATGTTTACAGCTTTGTATTGCCTGTTTCCTTTCCATACAGCTTCTTAAGAGCGCGGAGTTATTGGCACTTGAGGGTACTACCAAAGGATTACACTATGGGAAGCACATCGTTCAGGAATAGCTGTTTACTTGTGTCTTTTATTTATGCATCATTTGAATGCCATGCCATAAAATCGGGAACCCTCTGTGTGAATTTTTGAACACAAACCATTATACATAATTGATGTCCACCTATCGGCAATCTTTCCCTTCTCTTGATTACAATTGCTTGCTCTCAGCTGCTGTGCAGGAAATTGTGTCAGTCAGCTTAGGTTCCCACGGCAGCACACCAAGTGTACCTCATCTCATGGTGTGGAAACTGGTAGCGGTGCACCGAAATTAAAATTTCAAAACCGAAATTAAAAAAATGTTTTTTATTTTAACTTTTTCAAATTTTTACAAATATTTTAATTATTTTTTAAAATTCATTCATAATTGAAGATATAGTAAACATACTCTGTCCTCAATTATTTACAAACACTCAGCGATCACTGATCACTGATCACTGACTGCTTGTACTTCGCTCTCCTTCCTGACACACTATCACAGGAGGCTGAGCGAGCGGTGCGGGAGGAGAACTCAGCCTCCTGTGACAGCGCTGGCTGTCTCCAACCACATTGCCCTCCTCTGATCTGTGACAGGAGGCTGAGCGGTGTGGGAAGAGAGACGCCGGCCGCTCACATCGCTCTCCTCCCACAGCGCTCGGCCGCCTGTGACAGTTTCTCTCTTCCCCGCTGGGACACAGAGCAGCGCCCAGCGAGGAGGAGAGAAAGAACTGATGCACCGCTGTATCGGCCAAAAAATTGCACTTTCGGCATTATGCCAAAAGTTTCATTTTCAGGCTATATGTTGCGGCGGCCGCTATATCGGTGCATCCCTAGAAACCGGTAGTTATAGTGTTGGAGTTTTCCATTGACATCCACACATAGAGGTAATGTTCAGCCGTTTCTAATAAAGATTCATGTAGATGTAAAACCCAATTGAATCCTAGGAAAATTCTGCTGACACCTTTAGTACTTAAACGGTTAGACTCGGCTCACATGGGTCTGTATAAAAAATGTACGTAGCTTATGTGTCCAGCGAAACTGCATGTTGGTTCGTTCTATGTGAGTTAACCAGCTGTTGTGAGAACGGGGCAAAAACGAATGTTCTTCGTGTGTCTTCCTTACTGGTCAAATGTTCTACCTTAGGTATATTCATATAGAATGAATGAGAAAAATACCACATTATGGCCACTACATTGAGCTGATCATAGCAATAATTGTACAGAGCAGCGTGAGTGCGTAAAATACCACATCATGACCACTAGATGGAACAGAAGACCATAGAAAATCAATACATGTTAAAAAGGAGGTACAATGCTGGAGAGAATGATCATATCAATGTAACTATTGCTTTCCCCATAGTATCCATGGTTACGTTAATATGCTCATTCCCTCCAGGCATCTTCACAATTGCAAGATTGCATCTCCTTACTGACTGTATTTATTTCTTATGGTCCTCCATCTAGTGAACATAATAAAGTATTACATCAAAATACATTCATTATTAAATGAGAACTATGGGGTCAGGGCTTTTCCCCATAGTTCTCCTAAAGGTCACGGGAGAACACAAACTAGCGTTCTCCAAAGCTCAGTATACCACGAGCTACAGCTCGCGGTATACTGAGATGCTGCAGCCGGGACAGATCCCGACAATACTGTCTGGATCCACCCAGCTGCGGGATTGACAGCTGGCTCTGCCTATCCAGAGGAATAGCCAGCTGTACCCGCCCCCTCCCCGTCTGTTTCGCCAGTCAGCGCTGGAGGATCGGACAGGGGAGGGGGGAATACCTGCAGGGAGCCGTGAGTGACAGTCAACGCTCTCTGCAGGTACATGATCGAGAAGTGAGCGAGCGACGGCATGTGTTCGCTCACTTCCCGATCTATTGAGCCGACGTGCGACAGTTTCATTGTCGCAGGTCGGCTCAGATTATGAGGCTGAGTGAAAATAACTTGCCTCATAATTCTCCTTTAAAAAAAAATGTACGTAGGTTATTCGTCCAGTGAAACTGCATATGCATTTGTTCTGTGTGAGTTAAACAGCTGGTATGAAAATGGGGCAAAAAACAGATGTTTTTAGAGTATTTTCTCTTGTGAGCGAATGTTCTTTATTAGGTATATTCATATAGAACAGAATGAATGAGAAAAATAACACAATATGGCCACCAGATTGCGCTGACCATAGGAATAAATGTGTGTTGAAAAAGAGACCGAATTCAAGAGAACCCTGGAGAGAATGACCATATAAATGTAACTATTGCTCTCCCCATAGTATCCATGGTTACATTTATATGCTCATTCCCTCCAGCGGTCTTTATAATTGTGACATTGTATCACCCATCATGTATTTATTTCCTGTGATCCTTAGCTCCATCAAGTTCATTCGCTCTGTTCTATAAGGATCAACCTGAAGAGAAATTACACTAAGAACATTCGTCTTTGCCCCATTCTCACGACAGCTGGTTAAAGGGTAATTCCACGTTCCCAGGTGAATTTGGGAAAATCGTATTATCCCTCCAGTCTGCCCCCCTCCCTCCTCCCTGGCTATACTTACTTTTGGGCAAACGCTCCATCCCCTCCACCGGTGCACTGTCCGTACCCCGTACTGGCATGTAGCGCAGCCCCGCGCTATGTATTCTAAATTTCTCTCGCAAATAGGGAACACTCATTGGTCAGCATGGACAGAAGCACTTCCCATCTGTCAGGTGACTAATGAGTGCTCCCCATTTGTGAGCGAGATTCAAAATGCATAGTACCTAGTAAACGCACCTCGTTTTAACACGCAGAGCTGCGTAACACAACATTCCAGGGCACCAGCGTTCGGCCAAAGGTAAGTATAGTAGCGGAGGGAGACAGATTAGAGGGAGTAATTCCATTTTCCCAAATTCCCCTGAGAAAGAGGAATTATTATTATTATTATCAATATCATACAGGATTTATATAGCGCCAACAGTTTGCGCAGCGCTTTACAATATAGGGAAGACATTACAATCACAATACAATTCAAGACAAGATGGTAAGGAGGGCCCTGCCCCTGAGGGCTTACATTTAACTTGCACAGAACCAATGTACCTGAAGTTTATATGGACAAATAGCTATGCAAATTTTTTATAAATAGGCCCCTTACTATTCTAATGCACAAGGCCGTGGCAGACATTTTTTTTGGTGACATTCGGAAAGCTGCAGCATTAATTACAATAGTGACTACTCAGGGCCGGTGCTAGGATGTTTGCCTAGACAGGCAAAGTTGCATTTCAGGCGGCCGCTTGCCTTGCCTTGCGGTAGCGCCGGGCCTGTGACTCAGTCTATAAAGTATGACAGTGGTGTATAAATCACAAGAATGCCATTGCACGTATAAATAATTCAGCTCTATTGTATAGGTTTGGCTTGTTTGTAGTAACAACTATTCGTGACTTAATATGTGATTTATTTGGTGGCATTATTTCCTAGAATAAAGCAGTTCTGTATACAGGACTTTCCTCACCATTGCAGCCTATTGATTTTGGGGGAACCAGCATGTAAAATAAATTTCCATCCATAATTCCCTGTTTGATTTAGGCCTCATTCACACTGGAATCGGCCGGCACATACAGCTCTGTGCTGCGTGCACGGTCGTATCGAGCGGCTCCCGGGAAGGACACATGCTGCGTGTGATTAGTACACAGCCCTTGTCCTTCTCTATGAGACTACGCGGCCGTATAGCCCCCTACGCTCACCTCAAGTGCACGTCCGTGCGGGTGCGTATTTCCTGGCTCGGATGCAGACAGGATCCACCCTGTCAGCGTACGAGTACGCTCACCCGCACTGACGTGCAGGGTGGGTGAGCGTAGGGGGGCGTACGGCCGCGTAGTCCCATAGAGAAGGACAGGGGCGGCGTACTAATCACACGCAGCACCTGTCCTTCCCGGGAGCTGCCCAATACGGCCGTGCACACAGCACGGAGCTGTACATGCCGGCCGATTCCAGTGTGAATGAGCTCCTACATGTAACCATATTTATGGGTCCTTTCCTCACACGCTCGGCTACTGAGCAGAAGGATCCAATGCTTCCCACAAAGAACCTTTGTGTATTATTGTTGGATTGCAGCACCAGTTTTTTACCACTGGATGGCCAGGGGAACCTAATCTCGGACCCAGCTGTGTGTGTGGGTGCAGGATATCTTTCCATGGTACTACACAGCGGGATCCTGAACAAATGGCGATTCTCCAGATTTCCCAGAAATATAACTCTTTATATAAAGCTTTATCTTAAGTCTTGTGTCTGCTTTGTAAAGCTGTTTGATGGCAAAATGGTGGCCTCTGGTATTTACAGGCAACAGGTGCTCTTTAGATCTTCCACAAAGCATATAGCAAGGATTCCTTGCCAGCTGTGTCATAACAGCGGTCTTCTGTTATTATCGCTGAAGAACGAATGTTGAGCGTGTCATGTGATCTCTTCTAACCATCTGTGTTTCTCCCCACAGGCATATGTTGATTACATGGGTTTTATCCTCACTTTAAATGAGAGTGTGAAGGGGAAGAAGCTGACCTGTGACTACCGGGTGTCAGAGGTAGGTTTTGGATCAAAAAATGCACACACAGCACACACAATGCACACACAGCATCACAGCATCACAAGAGACACTGTCACCTTACCCATGCAGGTCTTGGAAGGCCCCCCTGGCCCACTTACACTTGCATTACTATTGCTCCCCTACTATGTCTTCCTGCCAACAACACTACCCAATGTTTCTGGGTGTGGATGCCCATGTGAAGGGAAACACGGCAGGGGTGTCGGGGGGGGTTTGGGGTGACCCATAGAAGCGTTCTGGCGAAAGCTGAGCCACCACAATCGCTTCTACTGTAAAGCCGACAGTCGGCTTTACAAGTTTAAACAGCGTCCTGGCGGCAAAACCCGCCGGGAGTCTGTTTAAACAGCCCCGATGCCAGTGACGTATGGTCATGAAGGGGTTAAAAACGCTACCTGCTGAAAATATGCTATAGTTTCCCATTTTAATTATTTTACAAAGCTATCCATGACTCTGTTCCCTGCAACATCACCAACCTCGTCTCAAAGTACCACCCAAAAAGTTCAATCCATTCCTCCCAAGATTCCTACCTTCTTTGTCGCCTCCTGCCATGCTTGCCTTTAGGACTTCTCCAGAGCCTCTCCCATCTTCCGGAACTCCCTAACCTGACCTGTCCAGCTATCTCCTACTCTGTCTGCCTTTACATGATCCCTGAAAACTCATCTTTTATAGGGAATTCTATCATGCCTTTACCTAACAACTGAACTCTTAAAGGAGAACTATGAGGTGAGTGCTTTTCACTCATAGTTCTAGCCGACCTGTGACAATGAGACTGTCACAGGTCGGCTCAGTAGATCGGGAAGTGAGCGAACAAATACCGGCGTTCGCTCACTTCTCGATCCTGTCATGGCGCTCTGCCGTGACGGGGGGAGTGGCTGGATTCCCCCCTCCCCGCTCCGATCCTCCAGCGCTGACTGGCGGAACGGACAGGAAGGTACAGCTGGCTCTGCCTCTAGATAGGCAGAGCCGGCTGTCACTCACGCAGCTGGGCGGATCCAGACATAATTGTCGGGATCCGCTTCAGCTGCGGTGTCTCAGTATAGCGCGAGCTGTAGCTCGCGGTATACTGCGGCGTCTCAGTATACCGCTAGCTGCAGCTCGCGGTATACTGAGCCTAGGGTGACGGGAGGACGCTAGTTTGTATCCTCCCGTTACCCTAAGGAGAACTATGGGGAAAAGCCCTAACCCCATACTTCTCCTGTAAGCTGGGCACACATGCAGTGAATTTCGGCCGATTCAGCAGGAATAAAACAAAATCCAATCCGTGGGTAGCCCCATCCCCTTCTCAGAAGTTGGTCATTAGATTGACTTTTGCTGAAGGGACATGCTGAAAAATTGTCAGCTGAATGGTGCACTGGTCCGGCATTCTTACAGCGACAAGCACCGCTGTCAGTATACAAAGTACACAGTGGGAGATTAGTTTATCCACGTTGTTTAGCTTGAATAGAGGAATCTGTTGAATGAAAAAAATAAAACTCTGAGTAGCCATCTTTACTTTCTAAAACATCTCATCCCCTCACAGTTACCACTTTTTATATCACTTGCCTTTTAGATTGTAAGCTCTCACTGGCAGGGCCCCCCCTACCATCTTGTCTTGTGTTGTATTGTAACTGCACTGTCTCCCTTTATATTGTAAAGCACTGCAAAGACTGTTGGCACTATATAAATCCTGTATAATACAAATAGTGGTTAGGAATGAAACAGTTACATATCCCCTAGAGCCTTGGTTCTCAACTGGTGGGTCGTGACCCCATGTTCAGTGGGTCACCGCATGCCTTCCACTTTTCTAGGTGAGAGGCTCCTCAGCTTCCCCATAGTGCAGAACTGTAAGTTCTCGCGCCAAGCAGCCATTCAAAATTTGCTGCCCAGGGTTGAGTGTCGACTTGAGCTGGGGTGGGGTAGGTGGTATGGTTGCGAGGGAGCTTCATCCATACGTACATTGCTTACAGCTCCCTCACGTGTCCTGTAGAGGTGCCTGGACCGGAGTGACATCACATTCTGGCACCCGGCACCTCTACAGGGCGCGCAAGGAAGCTGAACAAGTGGATGCACGTATGGATGGAGCTCCATAACCGCACAGCAGCTCACACTGCATTCCATTGCAGTGCAACTTGGGTCACGACTTAATGACCAAGGACAAATGTGGGTCTTGAGGTTACACAGGTTGAGAACCACTGCACTAGAGGATTATGAGACTGATCTTTATGTGTATATGAGTAGCAGGTATGCCTCATAGGGCCATTAGGTATGTGAAAGCATATTTTAATTTGCAGTCCCAATGTGAAGATCACAGCACCATTAAAGGTCACCACAACTAAGAGATGAATGTAGGCTGCCCTCACTGACTTCCTTCTGAAAATGCTAGTTGTCTGGCTGTCTCTGACTCCAGTACCAAAAACCAACCTGGAACAAGCACGCAGATTGGGAAAGTTGCAGCAAACTCAGAACTCCTAATCAGAATACTTGTTTGTGCCTTAGAAAGTTCAGAAGCATTTGGATCGCCATGACAGCCATGAAACTTTTTCATGTGGTCATCGATGGCATACTCCGTACCTTTTCACTACAGATCTATACCTCCTCAATCAAGCATGGCAGGTTTGAAACTAGAGAGCAACTATAATGGATTTTAGTCCATTTTATTATTATTTTTTATTTACAAGTGTATAAAATGATTATTCGTACATCTTTATTTTACAGATACACATTTTTACAGAATGTATACTTGACACTGTTTGAAGAGAATGCTGGGCTTTCTAAGAAGCAAGACCCAGCACTATCTTTATCCGCTAAAAGCCGTTGCTGACCTTTCTAGCAGAGGGGGAGGGAGGGTGTCCCTTTTTTTGGCTCATTCATGCTTTTGTTTTTGCACAGCAGCTGCTATCTGAGACTTCTGATGCCATCTGCTGGCTCCAAGCTGTAAATCCTTATGTTTAATCCTCATTTTGGTATTTATCTCACACAGCTAGCTGCTTTGATCAATAGATCCCTGTAGCCGTCTATAGTCGTTTCTAATAACCATCATGTGTCTGGAAACATTCATAGGGATGTGTTCAGTATATTCTCAGTCAGTTACTGCTAGAATTCAGGTAATGTCCTTGTGAGTACAACAGTGACACCCAGTGGCCAAATTCAGGCACTACATGTCAATGTATCTGATTCTGTTTTTTTACCGGTGGGTTTTTGACCACCCCTTTACATTTGGGATTCCTACTTTTTTTTTCTTTTTTTTTCTGAAACACAAGAACAGTATAGACAAACTCATATGCTTATTATTAAGCATTGACCTAGCAAAGTAGTGCATTGATAATAGCAAATGCCATAGAGTAGACATCACGGTTATTGGTGGCTATAAATGGCCAGACATCGATTGTATGATGTAGACTTGGGTTAGGATTCTCCTAGAATGCACTTAGGTAGCTTTAGTGTGTTGAATCAGTTTTTATTAGCATTTTTTAAACAGGTTTCATAACATTCAGTATTAAAACTCAAGAAGGATATAAAAAGTAAAAACACAACATCAGGAGACATGAGTATGTGAATTGAACATTGGCGGACTGGCGTGGACATTCAACGGCCGGTGTCTAGGGCGACTTATATTTGGTTACAGGATATATAAAGCTAAGGCATTTACGGGTTATGCATAATTCAATGTAGAAAGGATCATCACCAATATGACTATATCCACAGTTTAATTCTGGTGGGAATCAAGATTGCGTGTCCAGATTTTGTATCCCTTGTCAGCATTACTTAATACCTTCTCCGAACAAACATTTTAAAGGAGAACTATGGGGTTAAGGCTTTTCCCCATAGTTCTCCTTAGGGTAACGGGAGGACACAAACTAGCATCCTCCCGTCACCCTAGGCTCAGTATACCACGAGCTGTAACTCGCGGTATACTGAGACGCCGCAGCTGAAGCGGATCCCGACAATTATGTCTGGATCCGCCCAGCTGCGTGACTGACAGCTGGCTCTGCCTATCTAGAGGCAGAGCCAGCTGTACCCTCCCCCATCCGTTCCGCCAGTCAGCGCTGGCGGATCGGAGCGGGGAGGGGGGAATCCAGCCCCTGCCCTGTCAGGATCGAGAGGTGAGCGAACGCCGGTATGTGTTGGCTCACCTCCCGATTTACTGAGCCAACCTGTGACAGTCTCATTGTCACAGGTCGGCTAGAACTATGAGGTGAGTGAAAAGCACTCACCTCATAGTTCTCCTTTAAACATACTAACAACAGAGAGAGAAGAACTGATAAAGGAGGGAAATTCGGAAGAAAAAGAGAGGGGAAGGAAGGGGATTAGGGGGGAAGGGGGGTCACGGTTCGTGAACTGAGGTTGTGTATCGTGAATTTGAGGCATCCCAGTCCCCGCCATGGTAATGTTTTAGAGGTAGGACTGTAGGTCGGCGGAGGAGGACACTTAAGGTAGCTTAAGACCTAATCAACTCTAACGCAGATTAATTGAGACAGGATAATTGGTCAGGTGGCAAAAAAATAGAGCCATGCTAAGGGATTGCCCCCTCAGACAGCGTAGTGTTTTCTTCACTTATGGGCATTCAAGGGGAAAAAAAATTAAATATCTGGAAATGTTTTTTTTTTGGTCATGTAAATCGGAAATATTGCATATAAATACTTCATAATTAGTCTCTTTATGGTAGAGGATATCCAGTTGTGCTGTATGGGTGCAGATATATATTTACTGCTGTGCTGGGAACAGGATTCAACAGAAGGGTCTTTGGTTACCCTCATCTGAATGACTCAGAAGAGTGACATACCACTTCCTCTTCTCCTTTAAGGGATATGTTTATGTCTTCCTCCTGCAAGAGGAGTTGACAAGCGCAGAGCAACTGCTGTGCTCTCTTATTAGACAGCCCAGGATGTACTGCACACAGTGACACATGGAAGCAGGTGGCAAGTTGTAATCAATGGGTACAGGTATAATTCTAGTGCTGTGCTGGGAACAGGCCTCAGGATAAAAAGCCTAGAATGCAC